CCCCGAAACCCTGTGAATCCTGTTTCTCCATGACCCCTGAGAATCCCGTGTCATCCCGACACCCATATCTCCTCGCAGGCTCAGGTATGCTCCTGTATCTCCTGGACTGCCTCTCTGACATAAAGAATCAGTAGGGATATAATATCCAGAGATATAGGCAGCTATAAGGAAGGAGAGGGTGACTGAGCCCCCCAAACTCCCCCTTTATCACCATTCATTTCGGGTGGACTGTCCTCCGAGTGCAGAGAACTGTCTATGGAGAGGTTGGTGTGTTTGCTGGAACTAAGGGCTGGATAAGGTTTCTTTTAGGAAGTGTGAACGTACTTGGAGAGCTCCTGGATGTGCGGACGCAGGCCCTGCTCCCCTTCTCGGACAGCTTGGGCACTCCGGCCCGGACCGGCGCAGGTCTTATCCCAGCATTCCACTCAGTGCTTTGCGCCAACGTCTTTGCCGTCGTCTTGTTCACCGGGTATTCTCCGTTTAGGTGGGCGGCCCAGTTCGGTCTGGTCGAGGCCTTGCCAATTTTTCCAAATTCAGCTGTAAGTGACATCTAGGAACACAATATACGATGTTTGTTGTTATTAAAGTGAAGTGTACTCCATTTTAAAGAGACCCTGTTGTCATTTCAACAACGCTCTTCCTCTAAGACTTTCTGGGTTGGCCCGGCCCAGACGGCACCTCTACATTGCCTGCTGCCAGCTAGCACCGGGGAAGCATGCCCTGAGTCAGCAGCACCCGCACTGTGATTGTACACAGAAGTCCCTACAATGCTGTCAACTATGAAATTCACCTCTGTCACATGACGCAGCCAAGGCAACACTAGAACCTACCTTCACTACGCACAGGGACAGACACCCTGACAGATGCTGAGCGATCTGCAAGGAGAAGGTATGCGCTGAGTAGGGAAGATTTCTGATGGACGGAGATCTGTGCTTTTTGGGGAAGATTTCTGATGGACGGAGATCTGTGCTTTTTGTGGAAGATTTTTGTTTGTAAGGGGGGTCCTGACACTTGCTGGCTCTGACACATGCTGGGGGTTATTGCTGGCCCTGAAACTTACTGGGGGTTATCATTGCTGGCTCTGGCACATGATGGGGGTTATCATCGTTGGTCCTGACACTTGCTGGGGGTTATCATTGTTGGTCCTGACACTTGCTGGGGGTTATTGCTGGCCCTGACATGTTGAGGGTTATTGCTGGTGCTGACACATGTTGGAGGTTATTGCTGGCCCTGACACATGTTGGAGGTTATTGCTGGCCCTGACACATGTTGGAGGTTATTTCTGGCCCTGACACATGCTGGGGGTTATTGCTGGCCCTGACACAAGCTGGGGGTTATTGCTGGCCCTGACACAAGCTGGGGGTTATTGCTGGCCCTGACACAAGCTGGGGGTTATTGCTGGCCCTGACACAAGCTGGGGGTTATTGCTGGCCCTGACACAAGCTGGGGGTTATTGCTGGCCCTGACACAAGCTGGGGGTTATTGCTGGCCCTGACACAAGCTGGGGGTTATTGCTGGCCCTGACACAAGCTGGGGGTTATTGCTGGCCCTGACACATGCTGGGGGTTATTGCTGGCCCTGACACAAGCTGGGGGTTATTGCTGGCGCTGAAACATGCTGGGGGATATTGCTGGCCCTGACACAAGCTGGGGGATATTGCTGGCCCTGACACAAGCTGGGGGCTATTGCTGGCTCTGATACATGCTGGGGTTTATTGCTGGCTCTGATACATGCTGGGGGTTATTGCTGGCCCTGACACAAGCAGGGGGTTATTGCTGGCCCTGACACAAGCAGGGGGTTATTGCTGGCTCTGATAGATGCTGGGGGTTTATTGCTGGCTCTGACACAAGCTGGGGGTTATCATTGCTAATTCCAACACCAACAATGGGAATATTTTGTTCCCAGAATCTCTCTGGTGTACCCTCCGGCCCTTTTTTGTCAAAACCACAGCAAATTAAAGGAGTTAAGGTGGCACACTACAAGCCATACACTGTGAAGCAACACCCAATTCATTAGCCATGTCCACTTTTGTGCTAAAGCATGTAACATGCAGTATACCAGGCATGATAAAAGGTCTGGAGCAAAGCGGGCCCAGAAATCTGTGCGGTTGAAGCAAAAACAAACCCAAAGAAGCAGAGTCATAACCCCTCTGCAGAAAAGATCCGTTAAAAAAAATCCAAAATGGAGCACTCCTTTAAACTCCTCTTCTACCAATAAACAGATTAGGAGACAATGCATCCCCATCATCCTGCGATCTGTTCGCGCCTGCTGAGCCGCGCTCACAAAATCCCATCACCAAATTCTCAATAAAAAAACCCCCCCAGCAAATATGCTCGCCCTTTGTAACACGCACAACGAGGAGGGCACAAAAAATGAAAGCTGCTCCTCATTTCCCCCACAGCCTTTGATGTGATTGGCGCTCAGCGGACGCAGGTAATAGAGGCGTTTAACCGTGACAGCCCTAATTCCCCCGAGACATGACAGACAATGGATGAAGAGGTGCAGGTGTGTGATGTCAGCTGCCATGACAGGACTGATCCCCGCTGACAGGACCCCTTTGTATGGATGGGATGTGGAATGTGGGGGCCCGATGAGTGACGGCCAACAGAGAAATGTAAACACAGGGCCCCCCTGTGCGGCATCTGTACCTGCTTATTGTCTGCGTGTCTAAATGGTGATTTACACGGCTGGAAGAAAGGGAAAGTGCTGTTACCCATTGTTACATTGTTACGCAATTTTCTTATTACAGTGTTTGCATGCTGTCAGAATGACTCATAGGGATCTACATTGAGAGATATAGAAATGACTCTTAGGATCTTTATTGATATATACAATATATATATATTAGGGATGCATCAAAATTTCGGCCACCGCAACATTTCAGGCGCAAATGGTACTATGGGCAAAATGCCGATAGTACCAAAAACAGCGGAAAATGCGGTGCATCCCCAGCTTCTCTCCTCCCTGTTAGGCGCAGGCTGCAAGCTTCAGTCTGTGTCCCCTCCGATCCCCGCTGCTCTCCCCCACCTGTGTCGGCAGAGGCAGCGGGGATCAGAAGGGGCACAGACCCAATCCAGCTGCCATAGAGGAGAGCTCGGCTCCGGTGACAGGCGGGAGGGGGCGGAGCAGTCAGGATGGAGAGCGGAGCACAAAGGCTGAGCAATCCGTACTCATAACTCTGTGTTTGTAAATAACTTAGGACATAGTGATTACTATGTCCCCAGTTATGAATAAACAGGAAGTGCTATACATCACTTCCTGTTCATTTATGAAAGGGGACATAGTAAATATTTACTCTCTGCTCACTTTATGAATGAGCAGGAAACAGCTGAGTGCAGAGGCTTCCTGTCCATTCATGACTGGGTTGATAGTAAATATGTGAAATGACTCAGGATCTATATTGCACTAGGGCGGGAAGTCTTCCATTATAGGGCCGGGCCCTACGAGGGGCCCAGAGGTATACAGGCCCAACTGCCATTACTGCTACAATGGCACCCTGTCTGTGGGGGCCACCAGTGTATTCCGAGTCTCATGACTGGGAGAGGTCAGTGGTAAATGTACATAGAACAGCATACCAGGGACTTGGCTTTGCGCAGCTTATAGGAAGCAGACGACGGCAACTTCTTCCTCTCCAGGTTCTGCTTGTTTAGGGCCGAAACTCCTAAGCCGGCCTTCCTCCTGCAGGATAGAAGAGATAATACAAAGATGAACGCACGGCCCTAAAACTCATCTCACTCATGAAAGAACTGATATCCAATGAATGAAAAGGGGCGGGGCTAGGGACACTCAGGCTGGGGAGGAAAAGACCAGATGATGCTGGACGTCCTCCAGCCAGGAGATAAGGCGGCCTCTATCTGACTTGCTGCAGCTTCTAATACACATTGTGAGGAGCTTCCAGTGTGTAGTGACATCAGAGGAAGAGGAGAGGAGCCGGTACAACTGTGCAAGACTGGAGGGAAGGACGGAGCTCAGATAGAAGACTGAAGGGAAGGACTGAGGTCAGATAGAAGACTGAAGGGGAGGACGGAGGTCAGATAGAAGACTGGAGGGAAGGACGGAGCTCAGATAGAAGACTGAAGGGAAGGACGGAGCTCAGATAGAAGACTGAAGGGGAGGACAGGGGGTGCGGCCCGCACACGGGTGACTGAGAGCCCGACAGTGTCAGGAGAGAGGAGGGGACCCGTCGGCATATCTCATCCTGCCGGGTGAACGTCACCCTCCTCTCCCTGCCGCCGTCCGTCACCAAGATGTCTGCCGGCAGGCATCAATTAGATGGTTGCACACGCGCGATGACGACACGGCGGGGTGTCACCTGGTCTAGAGACCGGGTGACACCCGACCTCGGGACGCCCCTGGACAAAGGTCAGATAGAAGACTAAAGGGAAGGCTGGAGGTCAGATAGAAGACTGAAGGGAAGGACGGAGGTCAGATAGGAGACTGAAGGGAAGGACTGAGGTCAGATAGGAGACTGAAGGGAAGGACAGAGGTCAGATAGAAGACTGAAGGGGAGGACGGAGGTCAGATAGGAGACTGAAGGGAAGGACTGAGGTCAGATAGGAGACTGAAGGGAAGGACGGAGGTCAGATAGAAGACTGAAGGGAAGGACGGAGGTCAGATAGAAGACTGAAGGGGAGGACGGAGGTCAGATAAAAGACTGAAGGGGAGGACGGAGGTCAGATAGAAGACTGAAGGGAAGGACGGAGGTCAGATAGAAGACTGAAGGGAAGGACGGAGGTCAGATTTTATTTCTCTGCTCTACTCCAGTGCAGCTGAGAGCAATGACTCCCGGAGCCAGACTGCAGCGCGGAGACTCCATTTCATCAACAACCTGGAAGTGTCTTTGAAGATGAGCCGTTCCCGGGACATTGCGCAATACTCATGGAGCAGGTTGGGTGGGACGTTCTCAGCAATAAGCAGATTGTATGGAAAGTAATCGGTGATCTGCAGGATGGGAATGTGAACCTGTACGGGGGCGGAGCTCTCATCTCCTACAGAGAAATGTGATATTGGTGAACAGGGAACAGACCTCAGTCATTATGATGGACAATCTGAACCTCATCTACTAAAGGAGTGGAGACTTAAAGTGAATGTCAAGCCAAAAACTTTTTGTTTTGGACAGATCAGGAAAAGATTAGACCCCCTGCCTGGTTTTTACCGCTATCCGGGGCTTAATTAGAGAGATTTACCCTCATTTTATGTCCCGGTGACAACGGTTTTACCAGACAGGAAGTGAGGTAAAATCTACAACAGCAACATAGACGCTAATAAAAAAAAAAAAAGAGGGGCTCCTCTACTAAAGAAAACAAACATTTGATATCTGTCTGCGTTGCTGTTGTGAAATTCCCCTCACTTCCTGCCTGGCAGCCTTCACCGCTTGCTGGCTGTACTTAGCACTGCAGCTCAGGTCCCTGCAGTGCACACCTGCCCTGATTTTAGCAAGGCTTAAGTAGGCTGCTGGACATTTAGGCCCGATTCACACCTGGGCGTGTTGTAGCGCGTTCCTACACTCTGCAAAACGCTCAAACACCGAAATCCCATTATTTCCTATGGGTATGGTTCACACCTGGGCGTATTACAGGCCGTATGAACGCGCTACAAAACGCCCTACACCCAAAGAAGTACAGGGGCTTCTTTGGGGCGTTTTTGTTGCGCGTTTCCATTGGGATACAGCCAAGTAGCCCTCGGAAACGCACGCTTGTCGCACGTTTTTTTAAACCGCGGATCGTGGTAAAAACGCGCGTCACGAAACGTGCGACAAACGCGCATATTCAATACGCCTAGGTGTGAACCCAGCCGTAGGCCCCATTCACACTTAGCGATTTATCGAGCGATTTTTGCAGCGATATCGCTCTATGTAGCTTCTCCAATCCATTTCAATGGAGCTGTTCACATCTCGTCGCTCAATATCGCTTGTAGCTCGTCGCTGTAGCTTGTCGCTCCTACATGACCCTTTTTTCGAGCGATTTCGAGCGATTTTGCTCCTGATTGCATACAGCCCAATAGGAAAATCATGTCGCGATTTTCATGTCGCTCAGTGTGAATGGGGCCTTAGCCTGTGTCTGATCAATAGCAATCTAAGGTGCCCACACACCTTGCAATTATCTGCCGATTTTCTGTGGTCAGATGGAAAAGGTGCAACGGATTCCTCCATCTACCCTAACCTGTGTGGATGGAGGAATCTCCCGCTGGGCCAAGCTTCAGTATCTTGCTAGTCGTCCCCGCTGGCTCTCAAAACACCTGAACAATGCCTGCATCCAATCAGATTGTTCAGGTATTTTGACAGCCAGCAAGATACTGAAGCTTGGCCCAGTGGGAGATTCCTCCATCCACACAGGTTAGGGTAGATGGAGGAATCCGTTGCACCTTTTCCATCTGACCACAGAAAATCAGCAGATAATTGTAAGGTAAGTACAAAACAATATGGGATCCATGGATCACCCACTTTCACCCTGTTGACTTTGATAGACCTATAAACCCTTCAATTCATCACATATCGGCAGAATCGAAAATCCTCTAAGACTCAAAGCCACTCTACCGCACCCATACCGCCACTGCACGCCGCTTAGACTTACTCTTCCCATCGCCCTCTCTCTCTCTTTAATACCCTTTCCTTATGTCACGGTACCAGGGATGTGTCCCAACAAGCATGCAGGTGGCGTGGGATTCCCCTGGGCATGGATGTAATGCGTATCCTTAACAAGCCCCCAAATGTAATGCTTGGATTTAGTCCCAAACCCGAAGACATGTCTGTTTCAGTTAAGTCTACTACAAGTCCCAAGGACGAGCCCCCAAATGTTTTACTTGGGTTTTGTAGTAGACTCAACTGAAACAGACATGTCTTCGGGTTTGGTACTAAATCCAAGCATTGCATTTGGGGGCTCGTCCGGGATAAGTATTACAGTGGGGTCTAAGGGCCAGCCAGCGTTCTGCCGGGGACCCCCTCATGGACGTTTGGGCTTAGCTGCGTGCTGATCCCAGGTCTCAACCACTAGGCTTACCCTGCTCACATGTGGAGAGTACCTGTACATACAGGTGACAAAGAAGGTGAAGATGGCAGCAGAGAAAAGGGAGATCTGGAAAACGGGCCAAAGGTCAGGGCTGGCAGCAGACAAACGTAGTCAGGAGAACTAAGCCGAGTCGGCGCATGAAAGGTCAGTCCAAGGATAAGCAGATCAGGAACAAAGATGCAAATGGGACCTCGGAGGCAGCAGGAGTGTTGCTCAAGCAAAGCAAGCTGGTCTGAGCAGGATTCAAATAGAGAGACATAGGAGGCTGGACAGGAAATAGCAGGAAGAAAGCAGTGGCGGAACAATCACCATAGCGAACGAGTCAGCCGCTATGGGGCCCGGGGCACACAGGGGGGCGCGGCCAGGATACCCCCACTGATGCTGTGCGGGCCGCCTGGGTCGTTATGGCATCTCAGGCTGCTGGCTGTCACTGGCGCCTGTGAGGAGGAACGCGCCGCTGTTAGATCACGACAACCTGTCAGTGATGTGTGCAGCGGTGCGTTCCTCCTCACAGCTGCTGCTAAGTCAGTGACAGCCAGCATCTGTGGAGGAGGAGGAGGCTGGGCCGGCATCGGCAGAGATGGAGGAGGTGGTGCCCGGCGATGGAGGAGGTGGGGCCGGCGGTGGAGGAGGCGGAGAACGATCGGGGTGACCAGTAAGAGGGTTTGACCAGTCCACCTGAGACCCTGCAGAGCCCACCATAGAGGGTCTATGGTGGGCTCTGCAGGGTCACTCTCAAGTGGGTTGTTTGGGATCTCAGGTCGGCTCTGCAAGGGGCATAACTAGAAATCACACGGCCCCAATACAAAATTTTCCTATGGGGCCGTGTGATTTCTAGTTACGCCCCCCGGAAGCAAGGTATATTAAGTATCAGGTGAAGCGGGTGACACCCATAGCTGATAGCTCTGTGGAGCAAGAGCAGAGCACATGCTTGTAGAACCACAGGTGCCAGCAGACCCACATCAGCAAAGACTTAAAGGAGAACTATGAGGGGGGGGGGGGTGAAGTGAGGGAACACATACCGGCGTTCGCTCACCTCTCGATCCTGTCACGGCACTCTGCCATGACAGGGGAGGGGCTGGATTCCCCCCTCCCCGCTCCGATCCGCCAGCGCTGACTGGAGGAACGGACGGGGGAGGGTACAGCTGGCTCTGCCTCTAGATAGGCAGAGCCAGCTGTCACTCACGCAGCTGGGCGGATCCAGACAGTAATGTCGGGACCAGTCCAGGCTGCGACGTCTCAGTATACCGCGAGCTGTAGCTCCCTATATACTGAGCCTAGGGTGACGGGAGGACGCTAGTTTGTGTCCTCCCGTGACCCTTCGGAGAGCTATGGGGCAAAGCCCTGACCCCATAGTTCTCCTTTAACAACAAATGCAGGTCTGCAGGAGCACATGTAACAGATCGGCTCTGCAGCTGATCTGTGACACCTTTAGATGTTGACTTCCAGGGCAATCACTCATTGGTTCCCATTACTGTGTTCCCATCACCTGCACTATCTCTACCACGTTGCTGACTCAAGTCTTGTATGTCCATCTTGTGAATTTTGTAAAAAATTCCCAAAATTATTTGCAAATATTTGTTTTTTTACCAGAGAAAACCATTCATATAGCAGGAGGACATCATCCATGGGTGCTTAGGATCCTACATACGTTGGGGGCCCCGTGGCAGCTGCATCCACTTTGACCCCTTCTTGGCGAGGACGCTGGTTACAGGAAAAGGAATACACAAGAGCCTGTCGGTGTTCAATCATTTCTGTCATCTGTAGGAGTATGTCTGCCGGGCAGTATGACACGAGGCAGGAGACCCGCGCTGCAGCTGGAACAGTACGATTCAGGTCCGAGGATGCTGAAAAATGATCTGTGTGCATCCCGCCGGCAAGGACAGGATCCGACAATCCATCACTGTGATCTGTGTGCACTGTGGGGCCGGCTCCCTGTTCAGACCTGGCTATAGGAGAGAGGTAATCCATCACACGCCTCTCCTCACCTGTCTGCTGACACGGAACACCGAGAGTCAGACAAGGTGTATACACACTGCGCTGCCTGTATATAGCACCTCACCACCCGCTACAGTCACAGTGTTATAACACCTCTGCTCATCCAGCGACAGGGGCATCCGGTCCGCCTGCAGTGTCTCATGCATGTGCCAGATAGTGGCCTTTGGCTATGGCATGTTGCATGCATAAGTGTACCCGCGTGCAATGGTGTGCGTTCCTGGAGCTGGGAGTGCTCACAGGCCAAAGAGGGTATTTAGGCTCCTTCCATCATGGGGGTGGGTGCCGTGACCTCTTGCCAATATGTGCCTGAGATTCTGCTGTTCCCGCTTTGCCTGTTGCTAACCCAGATTGCCTGACTCTGCTTGTGTTTCCTGCCCATCTTGCTCACTCTGCTTGTTCCTGTTATTCTTTCTTGCCTGCCACTTGCCTGGACCACTGCCTGGATACTGACTGCTCTCTTTTCTGCTGCCTGCCTTGACCTCTGCCTGGATATTAATTACTCTCTTGCCTGCTGCCTGTCATGACCTCTGCCTGGATATTGACTACTTTCTTTTCTTCTGCCTGCCACAACCTCGGCCTTGATATCAATTACTCTCTTGCCTGCTGCCTGCCATGACCTCTGCCTAGATACTGACTACTTTCTTTTCTGCTGCCTGCCATGACCTCTGCCTGGATATTGACTAATCTATTTTCTGCTGCATGCCTCGACCTCTGACTGGATACTGACTGTTCTCTTTTATGCTGCCTGGCTCTACCTCTGCCGGGATATCAATTACTTGCTTGCCTGCTGCCTGCCATGACCTCTGCCTGGATATCAATTACTCTCTTGCCTGCTGCCTACCACGACCTCTGACTGGATACTGACTGTTCTCTTTTCTGCTGCCTGCCTCGACCTCTGTCTGGATCTTGACTACTCTATTTTCTGCTGCCTGCCACGACCTCTGACTACATACTGACTGTTATCTTTTTTGCTGCCTGCCTTGACCTCTGACTACATACTGACTGTTCTCTTTTCTGTTGCCTGCCATGACCTCTGCCTAGATACTGACTACTTTATTTTCTGCTGCCTGCCTCGACCTCTGCCTGGATATCAATTACTCTCTTGCCCACCATTGTCCAGGTAGTTGTATCGTACGGTGTCCGTGGGATGTTTATCTGAGGAACGCCATGGCTGGAACTCCTTCCTCCCCAGGTCATGTGACTTGCCCAACACGGATCGATGGGTGAGAGAAGATGACAACTTTGTATCCAAAGCTTCTTTATTGATTGGCTTCACGTCGATAACGACAAACTCGTCCTTTGGTGGAGTCTGCGAATGTCAGACGGATCGCACAGCCGACAATGAGAACCCAAACTATAGCTTTTTATGTTTGTTACCCTCACCACCAATACATCTAAATCTCTGGGGCCGCATGCAGGGGGAGCAATAGGGGCTGTCTTAGTGACCTCTAGCAGTTTCCTTACCATGTCTGCAATCTCTGACCACCTCCTGTATCATGTCTGCAGTCTCTGACCATCTCCTGTATCATGTCTGCAATCTCTGACCACCTCCTGTATCATGTCTGCAGTCTCTGACCATCTCTTGTATCATGTCTGCAGTCTCTGACCATCTCCTGTATCATGTCGGCAGTCTCTGACCATCTCCTGTATCATGTCGGCAGTCTCTGACCATCTCCTGTATCATGTCGGCAGTCTCTGACGATCCCCTGTATCATGTCTGCAGTCTCTGACCATCTCCTGTACCATGCCTGCAGTCCCTGACCATCTCCTGCACCATGCCTGCAGTCTCTGACCATCTCCTGTATCATGTCTGCAGTCTCTGACCATCTCCTGTACCACGTCTGCAGTCTCTGACCATCTCCTGTATCATGTCTGCAGTCTCTGACCATCTCCTGTATCATGTCTGCAGTCTCTGACCATCTCCTCTATCATGTCTGTAGTCTCTGACCATCTCCTGTACCATGTCTGTAGATTATTTCCAATCTCCTGTATCATGTCTGCAGTCTCTGACCATCTCCTGTACCATGTCTGCAGTCTATGTCCATCTCCTGCACCATGCCTGCAGTCTCTGACCATCTCCTGTATCATGTCTGCAGTCTCTGACCATCTCCTGTACCACGTCTGCAGTCTCTGACCATCTCCTGTATCATGTCTGCAGTCTCTGACCATCTCCTGTACCACGTCTGCAGTCTCTGACCATCTCCTGTATCATGTCTGCAGTCTCTGACCATCTCCTGTATCATGCCTGCAGTCTCCGATCATCTCCTGTATCATGTCCGCCATCTCTAACAGCTTTCTGTCATAAGACAGTCATTGAGTATTATGTGTGGTCCTTAGGGGATGTCGGGGGCCACACCTGTAGTAAGCTGACCACCCCTCTTGTAGGAGTGTTGCACCCACCTTGGGTCTTGTGACGTGCAGTTGGTCCACCATCTCTAGGTATTGTCTCTTCCAGATTCCTTGTTCGAAAGGCGTCGGGGAGAAGTTGATGTACCACCCGAACCGCAGGCACTTTGGCATCCACAGCTGGTCCAGTTCTGTCAGGGACTTCCAGTGCCAGCTCACCTGAGGAAACCGAACGCCCATCATCATCGATACCACAGACCTGCCATGCTCACCTGTACAGTGCTGGCAATTCACATGGGTCCCTCCCCTCAAGGAGCTTACAACTAGGGAGGCAGCGATACCGATACTAGTACCGGTACTGGTGCCGAGTATTTGGGGGCGAGTACTCGTACCTGCCCATATGCTCCTCATGCCTATCCAGATACAAGAACTTCCGGTATCAGTAGGCTGGGCGGTGCTACCTATTACCGGAAGCTCAAGTATCGGGCTAGGTATCTGAGCATTTGGGCGAGTACGACCTGGGTGGTGAGTCATTACACGCCGCCCCCCTTCCTGATTGGCCTGGTCACCAGGGAGCTGGCTTCCCAGCCAATCAGGAAGCCAAGGGGCGGGTAATGACTCCTCCCCCTGGCTTCCTAATTGGCAGGAAAGCCGGCTCCATGCTCCCTCATCACCCAATGACGGAAAGCCAATCAGGAAGCCGGGAGTGGAAAGCCAATCAGGAAGCCGGGCGGCGTGTAATGACTCACCGCCCAGCTCGTACTCGCCCAAATGCTCCGATGCCTAGCCCGGTACTGGAGCTTCCGGTAATAGGTAGCCGGGCAACGCGTCATTACACGCTGCCCGGCTTTCTGATTGGCCAGAAAGCCGCCTGCATGCTTCCTCGTCACTTGGTGACGAGGGAGCATGGAGCCGGCTTCACGGCCAATCAGGAAGCCGGGCGTGTAACGACGCATCCCGGCTGGCCAGCTTCTCGACCAAACAGGAAGCAGGGCAACGCGTGATTACACGGTGCCCGGCTTCCTGATTGGCCAGAAAACCTGGCTCCATGGTTCCTCGTCACCCAGTGACGAAGAGCATGGAGACGGTTTCCTTGCTGATCGGGAAGCCGGGTGGGCGAGTCTTTACACGCCGCCTGGCTTCCTTCATGGGACTTCCGGTATCGGTATTCGGTATCGGCGAGTACCGCAAAACAAATCTCGGTTCTCGTACTCCATATTGAAAAACTGGTATGGGGGCATCCCTACTTACAACCTCCGGTCCCTATCTTACATACACATACTAGGGCCGATTTGGACACGAGACAATTATCCTGCTAACCTGTCCTTGGAGTGTGGGAGGAGACCAGCACAAGCACAGGGAGGACATGCAAACTCCATGCAGTAGTAGTGTCCATAGAGTCCTGAGATTCATACAGCTCTGCCACATAGCAGGACAGGAGACCTACATTTTCTCTGCTTCAGTTCAGTAGCACTTACATGTCTTGCCACTCCGCCAGCCTGTGACTGGACAGTGAAAGGAGAAGCAGCAGACCAATGAGCTCATCTCTCTGCTCCTATCAGCAAGTCTCTTGTTATCACATGACCACTGAACTGACTGGCTCCTT